CTTTCTTTCTTTCTTTCTTTCTTTCTTTCTTTCTTTCTTTCTTTCTTACCTTTTTTGGTAAATTCCTGAAACAAAGTCTTGATATGTACACCATGCTAATCTGTAAAGTTAAATCCTATTGCTTCAGACTCTGAGTATCATAATTACATGTCAGCATCACCACATACAGGTTTTCTGTCTGCTTTAATGTAATCTATGGTTCTCTATATCCAACACAATGAATATTTAAAAAGTGTATGCTACCATGCCCAGATAAAGCCAAATTGTTAACTCATTTTAAGCAGTATTTTGTTCAAATCCTATGGGAATTCACTTAACAATACCGGTATCTAAAAAGTCTCACCAAGGGTCCTTTAAAATTGCTCAACTATGTTCTTAGCAGCTTAAAAGTCATAATCTGGAAATAACCTAGATGTCCTTCAACTGAAGAATGGACACAGAAATTGTGGTACATTTACACAATGGAATAATACCTAACAATTAAAAACAAAGAAATTTGCAGGCAAATAGATGGAACTAGAAAAGAACATCATGAGTGAGGTAACCCAGAAACAGAAAGACACACATGGTATATACTCACTTAAAAGTGGATATTAGCCATATAATATAGGGTAAACATACTAAAATCGATAGTCTTAAAGAAGCTGAACAACAAGGAGGAGTCTAGGGAAGATGCTTAATCCTCATTCAGAAGGGCAAACAGGATAGACACTGGAAGTGGGAGAAGAGAGGAAACAACGCAGGAGCCTACTACAGAAGACCTCTGAAATACTCTACTCAGCAGGGTATCGAAGCAGATGCTAAGACTCATAGACAAACTTTGGGCAGTGCATAAGAAATCTTATGGAAAAAGAGGGACATAGAAAGACCTGGAAGAGACAGGCGCTTCACAAGGAGATGAACAGAACCAACATATCTGGGCCCAGGGGGACTTGCAGAGACCAATGCTCCAACCAAGGACCAATACATGGAGAGGACCTAGACCCACCTGTTTAGATGTAGCCCATGGGCAGCAAAGTCTCCATGTGATTTCCTTAGTAAGGGGAGCAGGATCTGTCTCTGACATGGACTCAGTGGCAGGCTATTTGATCACCTCCCCCTGGGGAGTCATCCTTGCCAGGTCACAGAGAAATATGATACAGCCAGTCCTGATAATGCAGGACTAGAGAACTAGGGGCATAAGAGGAGAAGATGGAGGGAGGGGGAGACTGGGAGGAGATGAGGAAGGAGGCTTACAGCCAGGATACAAAGTAAATAAATTGAAAGAAAGAAAGACAGAAAGAGAGAGAGAGAGAGAGAGAGAGAGAGAGAGAGAGAAAGAAAGAAAGAAAGATTAAAAAAACAATCAAGTGAAAAAAAATATGGCAAGGCACCTAGTCACTGAGCTGCTGCTGTTGCTTTTGGAGTAACTGTTGTTCATATTTCCATAGCACATTTCTCTGTGGTCTTCAATGTGCTTGATGTTGTCACATCAGCTAGCCTTAGCTGGAGAATAACCTTAACCTGGAAAGTGACTCCACGTCAGAAATGGATTTCACTCTCAAAAGAAGCACCAGAGAGCCATTTGACCATTGAACAGGCACCATCAACTCTTCCCTGGAAAGCAAATGAGACAAGAGGCACTCTTTATTACAAAATGTTTAGTCCAGATCTTTTCTTCTCAATCTATGAAACGTTCTAGATTTTCACAAAGCTGATTATTAATGAGAAAAATACAAACACTGTAGAGGTTGTTCAAAATACTTACTCCAAAGCCTTTAAATATTCTAGTCTGGGGCCTAAGCTAGTCAGGCTCATTCCCTGGCTTGCTTGGGAGTCTATGTAAACACCAAGGCCAGGAAGATATCCTTGTGAGGCAAACAGATACTCAGTTGCTGGGATGGTTCAAACTATTAGAGTCTGACATTGGACAGCTTATTTTAGGCATATATAAGCACAGAACAATGAACAATATGAAAAATATTTATCTGGTGATAATTAACCCAATCCCATGTGTACAACAAAAATAAACACATGATTACAACAAAACTCTTATAAAATACAAGTGGCATCTTCCATAAAGATAAGTTCTCTTATAGAACCCAGGACCACCATCCCAGGAGTGATTTCCTCACCTACAATAGACTGGGCCCTTGCACATCAATCACTAATTAAAAACATGTCCTAAAGGCTGTCTGCAGCCTGATCATGTAGAGGCGTTTTCTCAATTGAGGCTCCTTTCTCTCTAAAGCTTCTGTTAAGTTGACATAAAACTAGGCAGCACATGATCGAAGAATTTAGTTGTATTACAGTTTCAGAGGGTGAGTTCATAATGCTAGGAGAGTCATGACAGCAGGTGGTTGGATTAGGAAGCTGAAAGAGCACATCTTAACCACAAACATGTAACATAGAATATTCTGGAAGTACAGTAAAGCTATAAACTTTCAAAGCCCATCCCCAGTGAAGTACTTCCTCTAGCAAGATTCTCCCACCTAAATGTTCCATAATCTATCCAAACATTATCACCAGTTGGGCTCCAAGTAATTATTCAAATACCTGAAGCCATAGGGGAAATTTCTCATTTAAATCACCACTCCCCAAGACAGAACCATTTAGACAGGACAACAGACTTTTGAATGCAAAAAATAACCATAGTTCTTCCCAATGAAATCCATGGCCCAAGATTGCATCTGCTTTGTGTTTTTCATAGAGAGTGTCAGAGTAGCTGCCTAGTGCTGTTTCTGTGGTAGCAGCATTCAACTCATGACGTATAGCAAGTAGGTAAGAATTCCCAACCTCCTCAACACTGAGTTCTCCACTGAACTCTTTTACACCGTAAAAATTCTGGTGTGGATTAACTGCAGAGTAAATACGTGAACTATGTGCACTCAGGTCCAGCTTCTAACAATAGACAGAAACATAAAGAGATTCCTTTAGATGATAACTACATCAAATTGTCCCAAGAAGCGAGCAGTAATGAAGAGACCAAGAGGAGCTGTGGAGATACATTCTCTGATTTTTGGACATAAGCACAGTGATGCTGATTGGTCACTCCCACTTGTTAAGTGCAAATTTGCATATACTGCATAATTTTTTGTGGAATACCTTAGGGGTATGCAAAATACCATATGGTTTGCCATATGGTGTTATCCTGGAAATTTATGGAGACTGCCCATATCCTTGGAAATACTCCTAGCAGCCAGATGGGCGGGTAGATGGGAACAACAGAAAACAAAACAAAACAAAATAAAAACCCAAAGAGCCTGGAAACTATAGTCATTTGATTTGCAGTCAGATCCCATGTCTCCAAGAGAAAATAAATTGAAGAAATGAGCATTGTGAATAGTTTTTTAAATATTTATTTATTTTCATTCTTTTATTTATTACAATTTATTCACTTTGTAACCTAGCAATAACTCCCTCCCTCACTCTTTAACAATCCTACACTTTCTTCCTCTTCTCCCATGCCACTCCCCCACCCCACTGATAGGAGAGGTGCTCCTCCCATTCTATCTGACCCTACCCTATGAGGTCTCA